TTCTTCAGAAGACTCCTTCGCCAGAATGTCTGCCATTTCATTCCCCCATATATCAACATGGGAAAGAATCCACTGAAGAGTCATGAAGTCATGAGTCATGAAGCTTTCATTACGTAATTCGTTTGAGAGGAGTTGAATATCAAATGCGTTTTTATTTCTCTGATGAGAATTAAAGTTGAGCACTTCGGTGGCATCTTTTCAAGGCTTGAATCATCATCAGCGTAGCTATTGGTTTTTCTAGCATTACGACAGCCACTGCGTTTTTAAAACTAGTACTGCTACGATAGAAATCGCAGAAAGAGAATTATTTGCTCTTCATTCCTTATTTTAAAGATTAGCTTGCGACACTCAGTAAACTTATTTAAAACTACTATACAGTAAGACCCCGCTTAACGCGGGAGATACGTTCCATGAAAGTAGAGCGTAATGCGAAACAGCGATAAACGAGGCTATCTTTACATGTAAATATTGGGGTTAGGGAAGATGCTAGAATTGGTTAGGTATTAAATTAAAAAGTATGTTTTTTAATAAAAATAAAACCAAACATTATTTCTTAAAGCCCAATTAATACCACATTATTATTTCTTGCAAAATAAAAACAAAGAAATAACAAACGATATTCTTAAAAAAAACAAAAAAATTCTCAGTCTATTAGTTTCCTTCCGCGTTTTCAGTGTCTGGTTTTGTGATAAAAGCATCTAATGTTTTTGCCTTTTTCTTTGCGTTTGTTCTCTTAAAGTTTTATAAACGGATAAGCATCCTAACCCACGCCTTACTTTTGAGCTCCTGTCAAAATTCGGACATTTTCATGATTGATCCATTATTTCAGTTATGGTAACAAACTCCTTTTACAACGCCATCGAAATTCTTTTTGCGCTTCTTCTGATCACTGCTGTCAACATTTTGTTTCTTCTTGTTCGTTAATCCTGGCTCATCATTAAAAGACTAGCCGCGCTTCTGAATTATTTCTTCGACATCTTCCACATTTACCCCTTCAATGTCTGGACAATACCGCACCAAACAAGAAATACAATACACTCTTTCGGATTTATTGAAACTATCGCTGCTAATATTCGGGATCCCGTATGCTGCGAGCGATTTCGTGGAATCCCCGGGTTGAAATAAAAGAATAACCAAAACAGCGCTAAACGAAACAGCGTTAAGCGGGGTCTTACTGTACTTAATATAATGTGATATTATTAAAAATATAGCTTCTATTTCTAATTAAACGTATACTTCAAGAACAAAACTATCATTCGTTGAAAGGAAGCCACATGTAAGGAGTAAAGAATTATTGTTGGTCACACCTCCCATAATGTTTTTGAAAAGTTTTATATTTTAGTATTAAAAATCTTATTGATGTGATATTTATTAGCCACTCATTTTACATAATACTTCATAAATGAAATAAATCGTTTTAAGTTACTTAATACTAATGCTTCTTTGTTCGCTGATTCGCTTCCTGTTAGAGGACCGGCTTGTAGTTACTTCCCCTCGTTGAGATTACATTCAGCCTTAGGCTGGGGTGTCTAACAGATTAATGTCATCCCGACGGGAGAAGACAGTTCTGTTCATTAGCAAGGTCAAATTTAGGGTCAAAATTACACTTTTCCTGACCAGTTTTATTTTGACTACCCTGTATTTAGACTAGAAGAGAAACACGCTAATGTGACTATCAAAATCGTAAAAAACAACCTTATATTTAGCGTAGGTAGCGTATACCTACGCTAAATATAAGGTTGTTTTTTACGATTTTGATTACCCTGTATTTGTTTTTGTTGCAAATTAATAGGATAGTTCAATCTTCGCTGTTTCCATATCGTGCGTACAGAAATGTCTGTCTCAACTTCTGTTGCAGATTTTATTACAGGAACGGATTATTATGTACTTTAGAATGTAACTCGTCGCCCAACCGGGATGCATATTTCACAAGTGACATTGTGTAGCACCGAGGGAGTGCGTCAGGATGGAAAATGAGCATCCAGTAATATTCGTCAGTCACATGCTTTCCGTGCATTAAGATTTAAGCAGGGTGAAAATATTCTGCCCGCAATTTTCGTAAAAATAATAAAGATCGTCGATTGCTTCTGAAACTTTTCATTGCAGTTAGATCAAATATAGGAATTATGAAGATTCACTAATGTTGAACTAAATACAAACATATGTGTTACTTCGCAAAAATCCATGTGAAATATCTTAATTAATGGAATAAGTGAGAAAGAAATATGTGATAAACATCTGAGCCTCAAATGCAATCTTACTAAAACTATGCGTATGAAAAATATTTACACCAATTATATCTAAAGAAGTAGCACTTTTATTGCAGTCTATATGAAAGAGTGTTCTTAATAATAACATCAGATTTTATTCAAGTGATTGACATTTCTTTTTTAATTATATTAGGTTTAATTTCACATTAATAATCTTACTCTGAAATTTACGTCTACACAAGAAATAATCATCAAACAGAGTGAATTTATCTATTCAAAGAGTATATTCAATTTATCATAAATTTTAAGTTAAAATGATATATAGATCATATGTATTCTTACACTTTAAAAACAAAAGAATGCAAGCCTGAAATAAGAAACACTAGATTTATGTAACACTTCAGTCCTTCAGCTCAATAAAAATATGCAGTTGAATTCTCTAATCCACATTATGACGTGAATTCATCTATATTAATCAGTGATAAAATCGCGAAAGTGAAAGTCAGCGATAATCAAACTCAGAAAACGAAAGCACTACGAGATTTTCTATATAACCCATATTTTATAAATGTGAACAAATGCAATTAAAACGCAACGCTCACTTGCACGAGATTTAGCGTCGCAATAGCAGTTCATTGGTCCATTTTCGAAACCCCTCCCTCAGTGGCTACGCTGATGTGCACTTGTGAAGTATGCAACCGAGATAGTGGTTAGTGATTGATTGCCTTACCGAAGGACCCTGTTTCGAATCCTGGAGAAGACATTCATGTTTGTAAATGTGTAGTGTCTATGCAGCATGGATGTACTCAAAATTTGCGGTGATCCGAAAGTTCTCTCGAGAGGTTGGTGTTAGGGGAAGAAGAGGTGTAAGCCTCTTGGACCCGTCCCCCAGGGGTGCTCTCTTTGAAAATTGGGGTGGGGAGCAAGTGGACAAAATCTTACTGTCACCACTATGGTGCTCAAGGCTCTTTCCTCTTTACCCCAATGAGTTTCATGGACTTGATCTAATATCAGACAAGTGACATTAGTCACCACCACAACAGAATGTAATTGCGTAGCTTAACAAGTTGAGCGCCATGTCAGCCATCTGTGGCTGACACTAGACTTTCCCTTTAGGCCGCGTCAGCCATAGATGGCTGACGCTAGACTTTCCGTTTAGACCGCGTCAGCCATCTGTGACTGACACTAGACTTTCCGTTTAGACCGCGTCAGCCATCTGTGGGTGGCACTAGACTTTCCGTTTAGACCGCGTCAGCCATCTGTGGCTGACACTAGACTTTCCGTTTAGGCCGCGTCGACCGCCGCTGGCTGCAGCGTAAATTAAACTATACAATTTACACTTTTGGAATTACAGAAAATTATTTAAATTTACTAATTTGATTCATACAGACTTTTCATGAAAACGTAAGTATAAAACTTATCCAGCTATTACAAATTGTGACAACTGTCTTAGTCTTTTTTCTGGCTCTACCATTACTCTACCAGCTTCAGTTGCATTTTTATCATAGCATAATTTACGGAATCAAAACTTCAGAGGCTTTTTCCGGTTTTCTTTGGAGTTTATGCTGCCGTTTTTTAGATATTCTAGCATTTCTGTTCGACGGAATATCTTCTTTTTCACAACTTGTAAGGGACAGCGCTAATTCTTTCCGGACTTTTGGACGTTCCGAAAGCAGAAAATCAGTAATGCTAATTTTCTTTGCATCTTTGCATAGAAGTAACTACAAACATACTGGGCGTAACGTGTTGAATGTATACCTATAGGAATCACGTTCCAAACGTAAACTATCTTCTACTGCGAAAAGAATCGCTGGCCCTACAATGCCAGCGCTTTTAAGCGGCGCGCGTGCCCTGAACGGGATTGCCTAAGAAATACGCTCAACGTGTTAAATGCAAGAGAATTACGTGCATGTGTATAACTACAGAAGTTGTACCAGTTGTCTTCCAAAGTATTGATGAGTTAAATATACTGCCCAATATCACTGTAGTATTTAAAAAAAAAAAAAATTTCTTTTTGTTTTAGAGTTTAGACTAGGCCGAAACTCGGGCTAGTCAACCATAATAGAAGGTGACTTATCAGCTTGTAAGGATCCTAAGTTTTACTAACGTTTATTTTATTTTAAAACTGTTCTATCACTTCTTATTTTCTACTTCCGGCCAGAATTAAATGCTTTAACTGTTATGCAAATGTCTTGCTACGGCCCAAGTACTTACGTGTGGCTTTTTTGCCAAGCGAACGACAGAAGAGTTTTTAGGAAGCAAGCCGCTTGCCACTGTAGGTTTACGAGTTTCACTCGGTTGCATGCCAAGGAGAGGTGGCCCTCTTTGATATTGTAGACGAGAGTTTAGCAGCTAGGAGTCTACATACGTACCTTTTATAATAAGGCAGCCAGTCTTAGTGCTAGGAATTGTATAATCAAAGTTAGCTTTTGTTAGAGTTTTAGTTAGTAGTTTTATATTCGTCAGTTCAGACCACAATGGTGGTCTCGGTATTTCGAAGTTTCGTAATACCGTAAGTATGAAAATAAAGATTCGCATACCCTCGGATTGTGTTGTCTACTTCACTCCTTCCTGAACATAGCTTGAGTAAGCTCCCTGTTCCTATTCAGGACCATTCATGTTTCGAAAGCAAATCAAGAGAAACACAAGTCCTGACAAGGTCCCATCTTTTTTCTTCATGCTAAAGATTTTAACACCTTTGTCAAAATATTTTGTATCATAGTACGTAACTAACAGTTCTTAAATTTTGCAATTATTGGTAATGTATGTTTATTTTCTTAAATATTTTATTTTAGGCCACAACAAGACAATCCTCCAGCATCTAATATCATAAGCCCAGCTCCACAAACTCCTAGCGCTGCCCCTTTGTCTCCAACGGCTTACCGAAGTGTATCGCCGGTGCCTTTCCATGTAAGTTCCACAAACATGCTCGTAAGATAATTATTACTGTAAAATTGTTATCAAGTAGGAGTGCACATGTTTCGAAAAAAAATAGTTAAATTCCTAAGTTCATTTTAGTAATAACTATCCTCTATTTAAAAGTAGCTAGATAGGATACAAGTTAGTATTTAACAAGGAGCATTAGATGAGGATTTGTTTCGTTTTGGATTTCAGCAGTACATCGGAAACAATTATTACTGTAAAATTGTTATCAAGTAGGAGTGCACATGTTTAGAAAAAAATAGTTAAATTCCTAAGTACATTTTAGTAAAACTATCTCTATTAAAAGTACTAGATAGGATGCAAGTTAGTATTTAACAGGGCATTAGATGAGGATTGTTTAGTTTTGGATTCAGCAGTACACAGGAAACATTATTACTGTAAATTGGTATCAAGTAGGAGGCACATGTTAGAAAAAAAGAGTGAAATTCCTAAGTAATTTTAGTAATAACTATCCTCTATTTAAAAGAGCTAGATAGGATGCAAGTAGTATTTAACACGGAGCTTAGTGAGGTTTGTTTCGCCCATTTGGATTTCACAGTACATCGGAACAATTATTACTGTAAAAATTGTTATCAAGTAGAGTGCACATGTTTAGAAAAAATTATTAAATCCTAAGTACATTTTAGTAATACTATCCTCTATTTAAAGTAGCTAGATAGGATGCGTTAGTATTTAACGGAGCTTAGATGAGGAATTGTTTAGTTGGATTTAGCAGTACATCGGAAAAAATGAGTACTGATAAAATTGTTATTCAAGTAGGAGTGCATGTTTAGAAAAAATAGTAAAGTCCGAAGTACATTGTGTAAAACGATTCCTATTTTAAAGCGCTAGATGGATGCACGTTAGTATTTAACAAGGAGCATTAGATGAGGATTTGTTTCGTTTTTGATTTCAGCAGTACATCGGAAATAAAGCTTCATTTGCTTTAACTTCTGTAGCGAAATTAATTTCAGTTAGCCTTTAAATATAGGTCGCAGAAAAAACTTGTTAAAAAGTACTTTTTAAATGTAATCTTTTAAAAAATATATAAATAAAATAATCAAGAATTTTTAAATTCCGATATTTTAATAAATCTGAAGAACATTTGCTAACAATATCGTCTGCAAGATATAAACAATTTCCAACTAGCAGAAATATTTTGTTGTAATATATTAACAATTGTCGTCGAAAATTAACTTGTTTAAGAAGTGTAATTTATATTAATTCTTTCTGAATTCAAATTATTTAATGTTTTTAACCTATGAATAAACATAGGTTTTGAGCAAACCATAAATTGCTTAACTTCATTAAAAACTTTTAGGCAAAGAATACAAGTAAACATTATTTAATTTTGAGAGAAATGGTTATGGTGCCTCAATTAGTCCTAGTGTGATTATCATGTTAACAAGAAAGAATAACAACTGCTACCTTGGTTTTCATGTAACGATTCAACTTGTTAATATACGAGGCGTATTCAGAAACCAAGTACCGTTTTGAAAAAGAAAAATAGTAAAACAATTTTTTCGAATTCAATTTTATTTTTACATAAAAATCCATCTCTTAAGCTATTTTTCAACATAGTTTCCGCCAATGATCAAACACTTGTATAGCGGTGACAGTTTTGTATACATCCTCAAAAAACTTCCCGCCAGTTTCGAAACCCGACTCCACAGATTTCGTGTCATCGTCAGATCCAAAGCGCCTGCCACCAAGCTCGCGCTTATGTGCAGGACAGTGATAGTCGGACGGCGTCAGTCAGGCTGTGAAGGCGGGTGTCGAAATCCTCCCAATGAAACTGTCGAATACGATGAGTGACACCAGCAGTATGGGCCGACATTGTCAGGAGCAACACAATTATTTACTGAGCAGTTCCTCTTCGTTTTGTTTTGAATGACGCCTTAGTTTTGTAAAGTCCACAATATCCCGTTAAGGTTTCCACCTCTGGAAGAAATTCGTAAGCAAAACGCCTTCCTATCCAGAAGACGTGCAATGATTTTTTTTTATAAATGTCTCTTGAACTTTGGTTTTTCGAGAATGAGTGTTTCCACTCATCGAGTGTTTCGATTCTGGTGTGTGAATGGACACACCCAGTTTATCACCTTCACAATTGGTTTTTAAAAGTTTTCTTCCTCATCACTGTACCGCGTGAGAAATGTCAGGGCACTACCAAGTCGCTTTGTTTTGTGAACATCAGTGAGCATTTAGCAGATTGAGTCTTAGTAAATTACTTAATTCGTGTACATGTTATGTCTTATTTAAATTTTGTTTTCTACAAAAGAACAAATCGCATTTCATTCTAGTTGCAGATTATGTATTATTTTACTCCTATCTCAGCTTTAGGAGTCAACATAAACAAAATTAATGAATATAAATACTAGTTTATAATATGATTCCTAACCGATCCTTGATACATCTACTTCATGTCAAATCCAAACTATGAATAATCAAAGATTTGAAAAGGAGCACAAAATTTCTGCAGTTAGTCTTAATATGTTACTCGCATTTATCTAATTCGTATACAGGCTTGTACACGTTTAAATATTTTATTTTTATTTATTTATTTATTTATTTATTTTTATAAATTGCGCTTGCTTATTTGAATCACAAACTGCTTAATTTTATTACAAAGCATTACAAACTTTAATTAATTACTTTTAATTAATTATTAATTAATTAAATTAATGCTTTAAATTAAGCATTACAAACTGCTTTATTGTATTTTATCGTGATTCATTAGATATTTTTTCTATAGCTCCTGGTGAAAATAGTTTATTTTTATCGTGATTCAATCTAAGATATTTTTTCTATAGCTCCTTGTGATAAACTTGTTATTTTTATCCTGATTATTTATTTTTATCATACATCATATATGTTCTATAGCTATGGTGATAACGAAGTAAGTTTTTTTTGATCGTGGTACTTATTTTATGTATAAATCTAATATTTTTATATAGCTCGCTGATAAAATAAATTTTATCGTAATTACTTATTTTTATCGTAATTACTTATTTTTATCGTGATTTAATCCAGTTATTTTTTCTATTATTAAATTTAAAAAACACAACACCTTTTTATATATAATCTTATTTCATCCCCAACCACCAAAAATTCTATCTGATTTCAATAACCTTTTTATAAATATAAGTAAATTACAACAGATAATAAAGCTATTCCTACATATACAAAACTTTCCTTGGGGCTTAATCTAGCTATATAAGTAAACAAAACTATTACAGCAGTTAATATTACTAATAAAAAAGCATATCTATATCAATAAAACCCTATTACAAAATATGCCATTAGTGAATAAAATAAAGTTACTAAAATCATTCTCATTACTATTACTATCGGCTGAGAAGAACAAATAAATACATAGCGTATTCGGAAACTAAGTACCGTTTCATTCTAGCGCTGTCGCAGCGCTGTGGTAGGCGACCCGCGCATGCGTGTTAGTCTTTCTGTTCACGACTTCAATTGTCCCATTTTGGTTTCTCTTGTCTGTTTTCAGTTGCTGTTACATTCAAATTTAAGACAATTAGTTCTGCCGCTGACTGTGAATTCGTCCGTGATTAAATTTTTGACGCGAGGATTTAAGCAGACCGAAATTATCGTCCGTGACAGAAGTTTTACGGTGAATACGCATAATGATGGAATGGTGAGAAAGTGGTAAGAATGTTTGGACACACACTCATTCTCCGAAAACCAAAGTTCAAGTACAATGGCATCAAAAAATAGTGCATGTTTCTGATAGGAAAGGCGTTTTGCTTACTGATTTACGAATTTTTCCAAGTGAAACCATTAATGCGGCACGATATGTGAGACTTTAACAAACTAAGGCGGCCATTCAAAACAAACGAAGTACTGCTCATAAAGAATTGGTTGCTCCATGACAGCAGCCCATACTGCTGGTGTCACTCATCGTTAATTCGACAGTTTCTTGGGAGAGGCGATCACCCGCCGTACAGCCTGACTTGGCGCCGGACGATCACTTGTTCTGACATGAAGCGGAGCTGGTGGCAAGCATTTGGATCTGACAGACACGAAAAGTGCTGTGGGTCGTGGTTATCGAAACTGGCGGGAAATGTTTGAGGATGGTATACAAAAACTGGTCACCCGCTATGACAGTGTTTGATCATGGCGGAAACTATGTGAAAAAAAGTTTAACATGATTCTGTAAAAATAAATTGGTTCGAAAAATTGTTTACATTTTTTTTTTTTTTTTCAAAACGGTACTTATTTCCGAATATCGTATAATCAAATTATATTCCTCTGTAACTATTATTTTGATAATTACTATTTTTATCATGATTCAAAGTAGATGTTTTTTCTATAGCTCCTGCTGATAAACTAGTTATTTTTATTGGGATTACTTAGTTTTATTTATTTTGTCGTGATTCAAATCTAGATATTTTTTCTATAGTTCCTGGTGATTAAATTAGTTATTTTTATCGTAATTATTTTTAATTTTATGGTGATTCAATCTAGATGTTTTTTCTACAGATTTTGCTAATAGACTAGTAATAATATACTATATAAACTGTATACCTGTTTAAGAAGGTTGTGGTGTTACCATTGGTTTGTTTTATTTTTTAACGGTAATGTTAACACAAAGTTAGAAATTTTCGTCAACTTCCTTGTGATACAACCGAATCTTTTATTTTATTTTTTTTTTAATAAAATGATTGCTTTGCCTGTATTTCTTTGTAGAAATCGGGGGATGTTCATCACGTGGAGGCACCTCAGAGCCCTCAGACATTGCTCTCGCCTCCAGTCTTTAAAGGAGTCTCTGCCCCATCTTTTACTGCTCCGTCAACAACCGCTCCTTCTTACAAAACGGTAAATGCGCATGCTCATTTGGTCTTTTTATTGTCTATGACAAAGTGCAATTATATAGCTCCAAAGCTGTCAAGACGCTTTGCAACCTCGCAGCTCTATCATATAAGTAGTCCACTGGTCTTCAATCCGTGCCAACATCTGGCGGATTCTGGCACGAATGTGATGGCGAGACGTGGGATGTCTCTGGGCAATGAGGCAAATGTGGTGTACTACGCTGTCCGTCTGCATAAATCCTCATGCCTTTTAAGTGATTTGTCCTTAGTCTGGTTATGATAGTCGATATGGCTCTGTCACAGTTCAATTCCGAGATGGAGTTTCCTTTAACTTGACGGATTAGTGGTTTGAATGATGCCGTACATTTAAAGATTGGACAGTGAAACTGAAACCTTGCACCTGGAGTGTAATTTTTATTAATCTCTTAATGCTCCGATTAAAATTCAAAAAACAGTCATCTTCCTGCCAGTAGTGCACAAAAAAAGTATCTAAAATTTAAAAAAAAAATTTTAAAGTTGACTAGACTACATATGCAGCCCAACCGAGTTAATTCGGGCAGTAAAAATAGAATGGTAATAACAATTTATTTAGTCAATGTTTATTGCGTGGTAAATTCTAATGGGTCTTGATGGCTATTCATGATAGGGTTAAGGGAAGGTAAACTTTAAAAATGTTACACATTAATATAAATGAATACGCAGTCGCGAGGTAAAACTTGCTGGCTGGGATATATACAATCTACTGAAATGAAAACAGTGTCCTCTGTCTTGTCGACAGCAGAAAAGGCGCATACGGAGACCAAACAGCTTACATATGCCGACAGCAAATTTTGTTTTGTGAAAGGAAATAAGCTTAAAACTATAGCGGATATATTCGTATGTGAAATGAAATTCTGAAACATATTAACTCGAATGCTGGAAATGTTTGCTTCGGTATACCCGAGTTAACTCGACTGAGTGCATTAAGAGATTAATATGGTATAAACCTACCTTTACAGGCTATTACTGCAGTGGTTGTGGGAAATGACACATGTGTTAATCAAAGGTGTTTTTAGCTATTATTCCCATGGAAAAGTGGCTATTTCCCTTCATGATGGTAGAAAAAGAAAACGTTTGCGACTATGTTCTCTTTCATACACCAGATAATGAAATAATAACCCACCAGCTAATTCAGTAATAATGAAATCAATTATGCAAAACGTGAAAAACGTTCAAGCACATCCTCATGTTGTTAAAACTACTGCATCACTAATTTTGCGGCGTGAACTGGTTGGTGCATTATCCTCTTGATACTAGATGTGCCTTTGGGATTTATTGTTTAAACAACTAAATGAACTTGATCCATCGATGACCTTTGACAGTAATGCGATTGTAAAGAACAGCTAGCATTCCCAAAGACTTCCATGATACTGCTACGCAAACCGTCACCAATTGCCCTCCCGCGCTACGTTATAGGGATCAGACAGTTCGGATCATACCCTATAAAGAAGCTCTCCATTTTCTCCTAAAAAGTTGGACCCCGATTAAAGTGGTCGCATCGCTGACAGATACGCTCATTGCATTGTGTTCTGTATAAAAAGTGTTTTTTTATCCTCTAAGACCAGCGTTTAGCATGGGCACAGGTCATCAAGACATTTTCTGTAGCTGTCTGACCGTCGCCTGGTGAAATCACTGATAGACAGGTTTTGTAGAAAGGGATCAGTTCAGAAAAATTTTAAGTTTCCCTATAATTTAAGTAGTCGTTGTTTTATGTTTCTAGGCTTGTTTCTAGGCTATAATTTTTTTAACACTCTAAAGTTTTCGAAGTTTTACTGTGGCAGTTGCTCCGATTAGTCAATTTTTCTTTTTTTCTGTATACAGACACGACCCTTGATATTGCAGCCTTCAGTGCATCAAAGTGGTCTACAGTTTTAGCCGAGATGTGCATGGGCAATTTGAATTATTTTGTGTTCTAATGTTATTCCCATTCATCTTCTGATTGTTAATTTTTTTAAAATCTTTTAAAATCTCTGAAAATTCAAACTTCCCATTCTGTTGTTGATAAAGTTCGAAACCATTGAGCATACTCGACCAGAAGTGAAAATGCTGGCTGCAACTTTTTAAGTGCTTTATTTGACAAATGTTTTATTGGCCAACCTTTGTCTATAAAAAGTGGTAATAGCGTCGTTTGAGTTATTCCGATTGCCAGTGACATGGCTCTACGGTGTTCGTAAATAGCCTTTTTTTGAGCACAGTTAATTACCTAATACTAATTATCCAGTATTTACTTACAAGTGTTTCATACGGAATTCTTTGTTACAAGATCAATTGTTTATCCTTTGTTCTGAAGTCTTTATACCACTCAGGATGAAGTTTTGAGATCAAAATCACTCAGGAAGAAGTTGTATGGGTGGAGATGCACGAAAACTGCATTATTAAAATACTCCCAAAACGGAAAACGTCATATGGTGCAAGATCGTAACCTAGAAGGTTAGCTATGGAACACCAAGCTATAGAATTCCCTACGATGTGTAACATGAATACGAGCCAAATTTCCTTTGAAAATCCTCTATGAAGGCATCCTTCTCGATAGACAGATAACCCGAATGCATTATGTCGTGCTCCAAATAATCCATATATTCAAATTCCACTACTATTTATACAATGTGTTTGCATGCCAAATGAACATCCGTTTAGAAGACGCGCCGTTCGATATGAATATTTTAGTACCATCATACAGCAACGCTTTAGAAACATTCTAAAACACTGCTATTTTGAATAGATAACCTTTTTCACTTAATGTAATTAATTCTTTAACAGGTATAAGATTGCTCTCATATGAGACGGATAATTTTTTTTTAAATAGCCATATATTTATAATACCTAGAACGATTTTATCTCTATTTATTTATGTATAGATAAAACAGAAAAAAATAATTTTAATGCTAGAGATCTTAAATAACTGCTGTGTCTTAGGTAATTATGATATTGCTGCTGCTATTGTTACTTCTCTGGTGATACTTGCAAACACTGTAATTAAGATTTTAGTTATCATTTGAGAAGCAACTTATAACATAGATCTGAAGGAGTACTGTAACACCCACAAAAATTATTTGTTGTTGACGAAATAAACATGTACCATAATTCTTTCTTTCTTTTTTCATACAGACACTAAATTGCCTTAAGAAATGCGCTTCTTCCATTCTCACTTCAAGGTTTTAAAACTTTGCATTTTGAAATCAGTCATACTCGAGTAAACTGATGAAAAGCATTTTTTGATAATAGGAATTAAAAGTATTTAATTTATGTAGAAATAACAAACTGTTTTTCTTTCTGAATCTCTGAATGTACCAAATTTCTTTCGCATACAGCCTGGTACACCTTCAAGCCAAACGCAACAACAGCCGCCATTCTCTTCCGCTCCGTCTGGTAATATATCAAGCACACCAAGTTCAGGACCAGGTAAGTCTCAAGAAACAAGCGCTGTTTATTATTGTTTGTGGGTATTATCTTATTTCAAACGTTGTTTTGTATTATTTCTGTAACTGAAAAGCAGTTTAAAACTAAGCAATCCCAAGGCTTCACTTAAATCTGTTTCTTCGTGGGAAAATATTTTTATTGATATCCTTAGCTCTCGGCAGATCCAGCACTTTCGGCCCACATGAATGAGATACATTCCACAAGAGAAGAAGAGGAAGAATGAGCTTGGTTGTTTACATTAGCTATAGTATAAGTCACGTCATCACCGATTTCATCGGAATGTTAATGTATCTCATTGCGACCATGAAAGTAAACACATATGCCCCACATGGGTCGATTTATGCGGGAAATAGCCTCGGTAGGTGCTATCCGCAAGGAAAGAAATCAAATTATTGCCTGCATACGGGTCTGTAATAAACTGGATGCGCACAGAACCGGTGATAGCTTGATAAATTTATTATACCAAAAGTAAAACTTATGGAAGTTTATCGAACGCAGTTATGGAACTTTGCACTAAAGTACTCGTACCATTCTTCTCAGCATCATAGTGTTACGAAATGTACAGGTATGGTAAGATAGTTTCCCCGCAAAGCAGGTTTAGGGTTGCCATAAAAGGGTAAGAGAAGGCAGAATTACCACATCTGGCGAGAAATCGCCCATTTGGCGACAAAATTGGCGAGATCCTGACGGAGGAGACCTCTGGAGCGATTTTACCGTTAGCCCATAGTTCTCGAACACAAGGAAAGTATTAAACCCTGCGGTCCCAGTCATTGTGTCTCTTCTAGAGTGCGAGATAAGTTCGTCTGGAGTTAGTCAATCCTGCGGAGTCGATCGAATTAACATCACGGCAACGAGTGCGAGTGGACGTCGATGCATTAAAGGGCTCTTAGTTATCGCGGTTAGTGATCGTCGATAAGTGTGTTGTGCTCGAGAACGCTAAACCGAACGTCGAAGCATGCTGTGTGTGTCGAGTGCCTCGCGAGCTGTAGCGTGGAGAGTCTCGAGATTACTGGAGTTCCAGAAAGACAAGGGCGGGATCGTACTCTGGTTGCTGTGCAGTGAGCGGTCTCTCCGTTATAGCTGATACTTGAAGGTATGTCGCTGATTGTCCAGCTAGTGTCAGTAATCTTCGAGAATATAAAACTTGACTTGGAGCTGTCCTGATAATACTGGCTAATAGTGTGTTTCGATACTATCAAGGTCGTCGTTTTCCTCCAAATCCGCCGAACTCGTCTAACGTAACGAACACGGGTGCAGCAATCGAGTACAATCATAGTTACCTCAAACTACAAACGTGAAAACAGCAGTGCAAGGCAGCTATACTCGCACGGAATCTCTCAATACTTCCTATCACTTTGAAACTAAACACTAAAACTTATGCTCTCTCGGTCTTATAGTTCCCCCTCCCGCTGAGAATCTTAGTATCTCCATCCTCTTGCTGCAAGGCTATAAGTTACGTTACACCTAGGCCAATTAGTTCTTCAATTATAATACCAATGTAGTTATACAGATTTGACCAAATGTCGCCAAGTTTGGCGCTTTTCTCAACTTCCGAGCAAATTAGTCGCCAGGAACACGCCATTTAGTGAGATAGCCGTTTATTCATGTTAAATAGACTTGCCCTGTATCTTATTTTCCGGCAGAGCTTTCAGTCTCATTCAATCTTTGATGTACATATGCATAATACTACGATTTCTCAACTTAATTTCGTAAATTTTACCTGTTATAAATCGTACAATATATTACAGCTACTTCAAATTTGCTCCTGCGTGCGTCTCAAGCAACATCCTTATTTGTTTTCGCACTTAGTGACGTCAGCGTTGGGAAGAGCCTAACCTTGTTCGTCCACTGACTTTAATCACTGCTTTCTCATGCTGTCTCTCACCGATGCGTTTTCATTGGAGAGGGATGTTAGCACCCCTAATGGGCGAGTCGAAGTGTGTGGGCAGTGTCCAATGAAGGCTGCTTTAACGGTGGTTGAACAATTATTGACCAGACTTCTTTTCGAGTAGCTAAACCAAAGAATATGTATTGTTAAGAAGGAAAGCTCACAGCAGCAGGTGGCTCCCCAACGAAAAGGGACAACTGCGCATGCGTGAAATACTGTCGCCAAAGAGCGCCAAAGCGAAGCTGATGTCGAAGTTCGAATTCGACGGTACGTTTCAAGAATTAAAGTGTTGACTCCATTTTTTCCTACATATTGACAGATATAAAATCAGACATCAACTGGATATGGATAATACAGCTTCACTAGTAAAGCAAAAAGCACGAAAATTCGAGTTAAAATTATCGCGAAGTCAAGAACGTTCATCTTAACCAGTGTTCCTCAATTTCCGACACGTGGCGGAGGTGGAAAATCTCGCCAGGACTGACAAAGGGGGAAATTCTACCACAGGTTCCGTCGCCAAATCCTTGCGATTGTCCCTTTTCTTTCTAGCGGCGTAGAAGACAAACTGGTTTACATTACGTCTATGGAGCCTTTCCTTCTTTACATAGACTTTCTTTGGCTAAACCGCGAAACTCTAGTAGTTCACTGTTCAAGTTTCTTGAGAAGGCTGTCTTTTTATTGTTGGATAGTGACTTTAGCACGACTGCACATGCGGTGATGCATAGCTATCTTAAAACGAGTAAGTATCCCGACGAGGGTGATTAAATAATTATTAAAACAAACTGAATAGGTAGTTCTCTTCACATAGTTTTGGTCGAAATTCGTTTGCACGACCAGTACTCATTTCCTCGACGCAATCTTATTTATTACTATAGTCACTTACATTACTACTAGACAGCATTTTCTTTTAATGTCACATTTTATTGGTGATTTTACAGCTTGCGCTTATAACCTTAGAAATTATTTCTGGACTAATATGTGCAGTTTATGGCATAGGAACCAAGAGCTAAAAGAATTTATTTTTAAACGAGAATAAAATTAAATATTTACCTTATTACTAAATATTTACTTACAACTTAATCACTTAGAAATTGACAATGATAAATTTGCAAAAGTTAACAGTTTTTCTTATTTAGGAACAGAGATAAGTGATAAAAATGTATTGGCCCTAGAAATTGATAACAGAATCATTGCTGCAAATAGATGTTTTTATGGCCTGAAGAGTTATTTAAAATCCAGCTTTCTTAAATTAAGAACTAAATTGCTTCTTTACAAAAGTCTTACAAGATCTGTCTTGATTTTTGCATCAGAGACTTGATCATTGACTTTATGTGATGAAGAAGCTCTGGGAATTTTTGAGCGAAAGATATGACGTTACATTCTTGGTGGGATCCAAGTGAATGGATCATGAAGAAGAAGATCTAATTTAGAACTCTATAAAGTTTACAAACAACCTGATATTGTAAAATTCGTCAAACTACAGAGACTTTAATGGGCTGGCCATCTGGCTAGAATGAATGGAGATCGTTGCTGCAAGAAAATCTTTCTGGCAAAGTTTATGGGAAATAGACCTCGGGGTAGACCTCCGCTAAGATGGATTGGATTGTGTCGAAAGAGATCTTAATATTTTAAAGGTTAAAAACTGGAAAACAGTTGCCAAAAGTTGAGAGAGCCAAAAGTAGAGGGCCCTAGAGAAACCAGAGCACAGCCAATGCTGTCGTGCCATTGAAGAAGAAGAATATTTGCAGTTTCAGTTTTTCTGATCTTAACTTTTTCGCATCGAGAGAGGGCAAAATCTCAATTCCCAACCTCGAAAACGCCCGGTCGAAAATTTCGCTGGGATGCTTTTCCTCCCCCTGCAAGTGAATACACAGCGCTAAAAATCCTTACTAAGTAAGGGAAAGGCGGGCTCGACGCGTTGACCCGTTGAATTCCCGCTTGGGACGCTTGCAATTCGGGGATCAAAGCTAAACACTGCAGGAAACAAGGAAAAGGACAAGGAACAGAGCTAGTAGGTTCAAAGAAGGAGACATGTATTTAGAACACCGAAGCATATAATGCAGAACGTGTGGGGAAGCACTGGTAGGAAATTATTCATCGTTTCGCTCCACCGAGTCGAATGTTCGGGCGTTTGGGGCGACTTCGATGCGAAAGAGTTAAAGACGTGTTAATATTGCATCAATAATGAAGCTATGTTTAAGACCTCAAATCTTTATTGATACCATTTTAATATGCAGTAAAGGATGACATGCTTCTGGCATGCACATCATTAAGATTATTGGTAATTTATATTCAGATTAATTGTATTTGTGGTTAGTGCACCGTAATTTTTATATAACAAATGCCGATAACGTGATCTGTCAGCTATGGTTAATGTGTTCTCTTTTTTGTTTATTACCTCTAATTCTTAGCTAACATCCGAGCAACTGAATATTAAGGCCACAATTCAAGTTATTTTTTCGGTACGGCTTTTACAGCTTTTTTCTCACTATTCTCGTCTGTTATTAATTATTTTAGCAATAATTATAGATCATGGAATAATTTAGTATTTAATATGTTACTTAATAAAAGATAATGCGATATCATCATCTTGCGAATGCTTGCAACGCCATTTCAGATACTTGAAAAATAATGTTGCTGAATGGTTTGGCTTTGCTCGAATTAAATTTTACATTGCTTGGCTATTTATAATTTTTTGTTAAATGTTTTATTACATATGTCGTTCGAAGCACTTACTTGTCAGAGTTAAATTCTGACCTTTTTTAATGCATCTAACACACAATGTAAACAAATATCCAAGCATGGCGTTAGTGTGCCCCATGAAGGTGCACGCGTCGCCGTGAAGGTGGCGTTAGTGTGCCCCGTGATGGAAGTCATAGATGGTTATTGGCAGTGGGGCGATACATTTTTGCCTATGGCCATGTTTTGGTGCCCCTTGCACTTGTTTCTGTCTGTCTGCATTTAACACATTTTTCTTGTATTTTATCCACTAAATTGGTTTCAAATTTATCATTGCGTGATATGCACCCCTGTGTAATTAAGAGAATTTGCACATTAGTTGAATATCTGTAAACCTAGTGGACAGATTGTAAAG